GTGACATTAAGCAACAGTAGGGGTGGATTTAGGGGTCAGGGCCAAAGGGGACCTTTTTTCCTTGAAATTATTTTGTATTATTTTTATAGAATTCTCAGAACAATAAAACGTTTCTATATAGCTGGCAAGTGGGCAAGTGTCCCAGCCACCCTTTTCTGAATTTTCTGGATCCACCCCTGGCAGATGCTGGTAAGATGAGTTGATGAGAGATTTGTCCATTTTTGATAACTTATTTAGAGACCAAAAACCAATTCCAGCGTACAGCAAATAATACAAAATGTACATGTACATGTATGCAGCATGCAAAGAAAGTAGTGTCCGATAGCCCGGGCTGGTGGATTTTGCTATCAGGCTAGTGAATTCTTTTTTTAACTTTCCCATCGGGCAAGTTAAAAACAATTCTGCTAGTCAATTCTGCTAGTCAAAAAGTTTTTGGGGCTAGTTAAAATGATGTCTGGGCTAGTAAATGCTAGCTTCAGCTTGCCTGAATGGCAAGCTGTAAAAATGATTTTCTTTGCACCCTGTGTATGTATTGCATGCCATTATCAAAATGGAATAAATTATGCAAAAGATTCCAGTTAAATCCCACTAACCCAGTGTCCCAGAGAAGACAGAAAAAATTTATAATAACTCGTGATCAGGTTTGTGGAGATGGACCAGATGGAGAGATCTAGGTTGGGAGGTACATGGGAAGGAACTAATAATTTTTGTTGTCAGGGACTTGACTGACAGCCTTCTTTGTGTATTTCTCTGCAGTAATAACAGTTGCTTATGCTTGTCAGTAGATCGATGACAAGTGATGATGGTGTTTCCATCCCTTTCTCTAATAGTTTATTGTTTCCTCCTGCTCTTCATTGAATTACCTTTCCATATTGTTTTTCCAGATCTACAAATCTGCCATTAAGGCTGGTCCACAGGAAGTAAGATTTTTTGATTGTTTTTCTTCCTGTGGTTCTGATACTGTGTAAGCTTTCCTTGGGTTTCTGAGGTCGAAATTGAAATAGCAGTTACAAAAAGAAACTCTATGTATACTGCTAGTTCAAAAGTAGTTCAAGAAACTTCCTCTTCTTGGCTTTCTATCATCTCTTTCTAAGCCACTGTATGACTTTGTGATTTCTCTTTTTTCAAAATTAGGGTATGATTGTAGGTCATGTGTATACTGTTTCATTATACAGTACCAGTATGAAAATCAACTCTTTTAGTTATTGGGATCTGAAATATTATTTTTTGAGGTCCCCAAAGTCAGCAGTCCATGTTATTTTTGCTATTTCATTTATGGGTACTTTAATTTTGGTTTTGGTTCATATCATTCTCATAGTTGCCTTGCCCTGTTTGTTCGGTGAAGCTAAGCCCTGTTAGGTGGGGTTAGTACTGGGATAGGGGACACCTTTTGGGATATTGATATACTTTGACTTTAAGTTTATTTTTCAAAAAAAAGAGTTTCATTTGTTTAAACGTGCTTATAGCGTTTTTTGTTACATTTATAAGATTTAGAGTCAGAAGAAATTGCAAAGGACTTTCTCTGATCATATTCGTGTGTTTATTGCAAGTAGCTAGGGGAAGTGGTGAACTAGAGCTGACATATAGTCCTGCTTTTTATATCATCTGGCTTGTTTATAGCCTGCGGTGCAGGTGGCCAACATATCGTGTATAGTATAGACATAGTTGGTTTAAAGAAGGTTAAATTGCCTGCAGTGCTGGCTAGCTTGTTTATAGTACAGTATTGTTGTAAAGTGCAATAATCTCAACCAGAGTGCTGCACCCAATGACAATCAGCCAATTCACAAGTCATGTTCACGAGGACAGTTACAGTAGTTGCCTGTCAAAAACAAGATATCTCTTTAAATCTTTAACTGCCGCCGGCCCATTGCAGTCTGATATTACATTAGTGTTCATTGCACTCTGATATTAACTTGATATTAATGTGATATTAATTTAACTTAGAAAAATTTAGTAGGTTTCAAAAAATTGTATATTGGACTTAAAAAAGAATCAAAATTATGTTGAGCCATTACCCCATCCACTATATATTATATGCTAACAACCTCATCCATGTTGGTTTTTAAAATTGAGCAAATAGTGTAATTGATCATCCTTTCCTTTGGGACGGCTCCATTCAGGGGACAAAAAATTTGGTCCCAGAAAATGTGCACATAATCTTTGTATCTATTACCTCTATTGAAGGGACAAGTGACCTCTACTCAGAGGAAAGGGAGTCTTTTTCTGGGTCCAGAAACCTGGGTCTATTTTAATGTCCATTACTGCAGGGAACACCTCAGCACTCAAAAAGTCACTGACCTCAAAGAGGGCTGATATCTTTAAGTGCAAACTAATAAAAAAAATGGAAGCTTTCACAAACTGAACTATCTCACATAAATCAATGAAATGCACTTGAGTGAATTCAACATACAATTATAGCAATAACCACAACAAGTTTATTCAGTATTACCATTTCTGTACAGGTGTTACCTATTAAAAAATGTAAATTAAATTATATAAAAAATAGAAAATAAAAACAAAATAAATAAAACAATAGGGAGTTAAGGATACCACGACGGTGACGGCCACGAAAACGTCGCGTAAAAAGTAAATTTCCATTCTTGCAGTCTCCATCGCGATTACTCCAACTCATTTCTCCAACTCATTTACTTTGTCAAATGTAAGCGAAGCCTTTTTGAGTTTTTGAGCCGAATTCCTAAGAATCATATTTAAGTTCAGGAACAGGGGCGTAGCTAGGATTTTTGAAGGGGGGCGGGGGGGTTGACACTGTGTCAAACCCAGAGTACTTACCAGTTTGGCATGTCGATATCCAGGCCGTGTTTTACTAAAAGTGACTTTTTTTTTTTTGCGGATGAGCAGTGAGCGGTGGGGGGAGGGACGAGCCTACAAAATAGCTGCATAGATTAATTAAGTTCTACCTAGCATAAATTACTCTCTTTTAGTTACGAACAAGAGCATGGTCCATTGCAGATGTTCGGTCCTGCAAATGGAGTAAGTAACAAATCTAGCACTGGAAAAGATTTATCGCGTGTTGATTCTACAGATTCGCACGTTTTGGCCACCTGAATTATAGGGACATAAAACAATTATCTCACAAAGGGGGTGTCACAGGCACCCCAGGACCACACCCTAGCTACATCCCTGAGAAAGAGAAAGATAATTTAGCCGTCGCTTCTTTAGGTCCTCCATAAGACGTAAAATTTGGCATTTCCCTGTCGTAGTCATGCAGTGATGGTAAAAAAATGTACAAAAAGCGTGATGCACATCCAGAGTTGTTGCTTTGCCTATTCATTTCAGCCTACTGCCTTTTTGATGTTTTGCTTGTCGTCGCCGTTGTGGCAACTTAAAAAGTCCCTAATGATGATTTCTTTATGCTGTCTTTGTTGGTTAATTATTAACAAACCCCAGCCCAACCTCTAATCAGGGGGAACCTCTATTCAAGGGACACTTGCTTTGGTCCTGAGGGTGTCCCCTGAATAGATGTTTCATATCATTGTGGTACTAGTGAAATCTCGGTTAAATGGACGGTGTAGTTGTATTCAGTTGTTATTTTGCGGTACAGTAAACACCCGCAGCAGAAATGAGAATCTTCTTTTCTGAAGTCTAGCAAATAAATAAGTTCTTGTAATTTGGGGTACCTTATTGGCAATTTAGGCTAAGTAGGTTGTTAATTTTTATGAAGGAAATAATAGATTGTCGATTACCAGAAAAAAAAATAAGCTTTTTACTTATTAACAATTGTGTTATTATCACCCTAACAAAACTGATTACCGATTTTATATATAGTTTTATAGAACAGTATGTTTTTGTTGTATTTAAATTTACAACTCAAAGTTACACTCCTTTGTTAAATTGTTTGTCATAATTTAACTGTAACCCACATATAAGAACCTGCTTGATTTTGCTTGGCTAAACAGGTTCTTGTATTTATGGGTATTAAGAGGCAATTGTCTGCCAAGAGGTTCTTAATCCAAAGGTTCTTATTACCAGGTGTTTGCTGTAACTGCCTCTATAATTAACCAAGTCAAATCTGTATTAAGCGGTCACCAAAGTCCTGGAAATAGCTTCTCTCAGTGATTATTGTAAAAACCGATCTGTATTTAGCAGTTACTTCTTTTGAGCAGACGTGGTCACCTGTTTTCGAGGTCCCTATGAGTAATTTGTTATTGTCTTTCCCTTCATTAAACTGTCCCTTAGACAGGATGTGCAATACCAGTCTTTTACAGACTTACCAAGCTGCGAAAGGCAAAAAATGTGAGATTCTGAACCTAGAGCTGGGAAAAGTAGTGAGAAATGGCTAAAAAGTCGTGAGGTGCCCCAAATGCCCTAGTGGAGGACGTTCAGTGGAGATTATGGGTTTTGGAAATCATGCACCATATCACTTTAAAGCTGGAACAGTAAACATCACGATCAATTTTACGATTTAGTTTTTGTGATTTGTATGTTTTGTTGGCGCCATCTTGAAACAAGAGAAACAGTACTGAAGTCTGCACATTTGGTGGCAGCGGCAAGTTGCGCGGTAGGCTAAAAGAATAGTCGGGTTTGATTACATTCTATTACCGTTTTCTTTGAGTTGAGCTGGTTATCTATTGATATCTAACTTAGAAACGACCCTACTGTTCCAAAATTGTTTGGAGTTTGACTTTTCGAGAAAGCGTGAGAAATCAGTTGCCAACTCGTGCGAGTGTGAGACAGGTCCTAAAATCGTGAGACTCATGACAAAGTCGTGAGACCTGACAAGTCTGCTTTTACTTCCTTTATTTTGGCACAAGAAGGCTACTAACAGTTTGAGGTCAATTTGTTGTGGGATAGATATTTCGCTCTATCACCATCTTCATTTCCATGACCAACTCTTAGGTTTGCAAACCCGTCAACCTGTATTAAGCGATTGAGTAAGTCATTCCCCAGGATGACCGCTTAATACAGGTTTGACTGTAAAACTTAGTTTATAACATTATCTCTCCTTACCGTTTCAGTTTTTTATCATTCCTGAAACTACAATGAAGGTCACCAAGGATACAGTTACAATTAGTGACCGAAAGCATAGTGGTTCAAATAGACATACTGTTCAACTGAAAGATGCTGATCCAAATGAGCTTCAGCTTTTTATTGAAAAGTTGCCCGCCTCTATCAAAGGTAAGACTAAGAGTATGAAATGTAATTTCCAATACTTTTTTTAATTTTGGTTTTGCAACAAAGAGGCGCATGGTTGAACCTCTAGCTGTACGTGATGTAGTGTATAGATACAGGCAGATCAAGCTTATGGCGAGAGTTCAGTACTTAGTTTGGTTGTTATAAAGCCCTACAGGTGCAGTCAGACAATGATACAGGCAGCCCAAGCTTATGGTGTCAGTAGTTAGTTAGGTTTTGGTTTTTGATTTATGATAAAACCCGTACATATGTATGGATACAGGCAGCCCAAGCTTATGGTGTCAGTAGTTAGTTAGGTTTTGGTTTTTGATTTATGATAAAACCCGTACATATGTATGGATACAGGAAGCCCAAGCTTATGGTGTCAGTAGTTAGTTAGGTTTTGGTTTTTGATTTATGATAAAATCCGTACATATGTATGGATACAGGCAGCCCAAGCTTATGATGTGACTAGTTAGTTTTGGTTTTGGTTTTTGAATTTGAAGGCATATTGGTTAAACCTGTACAGGTAGTCAGGCAATGATACAGGCAGCCCAAGCTGTTGGTGTGAGAAGTTAAATAGTCTGTAGGTTTTGATTTTTGAATTTAAAGACATATGGTTAAACCTCTGTTCATGTGCAAGGGTAACGGGGCTGTAATTATTAAAAGTTTTAAGTGAAATTTTCAGACACAATGATGAGCCAGTTATAAAAGCAGAGTTTCATTTAAACGGTGTTAAACAAAATCGCGTTGTGAACGCTTTTAAATTTTGGCCTAAATTCGGCCTTTTCGTGTCTGTTACGACGCAAAAAATTATAATTGATAGAATTAACGCAAAATGTAATGACATTAAGCATTTTAAAACAGCTTTCTGTACGTGATGTAGTGTATAGATACAGGCAGATCAAGCTTATGGCGAGAGTTCAGTAGTTAGTTTGGTTGTTATAAAGCCCTACAGGTGCAGTCAGACAATGATACAAGCAGCCTAAGCTTATGGTGTCAGTAGTTAGTTAGGTTTTGGTTTTTGAATTATGATAAAACCCGTACATATGTATGGATACAGGAAGCCCAAGCTTATGGTGTCAGTAGTTAGTTTGGGTTTGGTTTTTGAATTATGATAAAACCCGTACATATGTATGGATACAGGAAGCCCAAGCTTATGGTGTCAGTAGTTAGTTTGGGTTTGGTTTTTGAATTATGATAAAACCCGTACATATGTATGGATGCAGGCAGCCCAAGCTTATGGTGTGACTAGTTAGTTTTGGTTTTGGTTTTTGAATTTGAAGGCATATTGGTTAAACCTGTACAGGTAGTCAGGCAATGATACAGGCAGCCCAAGTTGTTGATGTCAGAAGTTAAATAGTCTGTAGGTTTTGATGTTTGAATTTAAAGACATATGGTTAAACCTCTGTTCATGTGCAAGGGTAACGGGGCTGTAATTATTAAAAGTTTTAAGTGAAATTTTCAGACACAATGATGAGCCAGTTATAAAAGCAAAGTTTCATATAAACGGTGTTAAACAAAATTGCGTTCTGAACGCTTTTAAATTTGGTCTACTTTCGGCCTTTCCGTATCTGTTACGCTGCAAAATATTATAATTGATAGAATTAACGCAAAATGTAATGACATTAAGCATTTTAAAACAGCTTTCTGAACAAAATGTAGGAATTGCATAACGCAAAGTGTAACAAATTTTTAGCTCAAAACGTAATGACTTCTTCTGTTACAAAGCAAAATGTAATAAATAAAGCTGTTAAGAAAAAGAAAACCTGTCAAGCGTGAGCGTGTAAGCCTCCTTTTTAAGGATTGTCACGAGACCCGCCATATCAAGGTGTTCGATGCAAAAATTATTGCGCTTTATTGAATCGAAAAATCTTTGAATATTTCTTTGCACACTTTCGGAAGGGTAAATAATCGAGCAATTAAAATTACCAAACGAGATGAGTCTAAGAAAAACTATTTTTTTTACCCCTTCTATACCTGTTCTTTCAATAGCCTTACCGTGTTTAGTCGATTACATGTAAACGCTGCCCTGGACTAAACGTTCAATTAACGCTGTTCTCAAATAATCGCCGCACACAACCAGAGGAATGCGGCGTTTATTCGAAGATTACAAAAAAACTCGGTACAATTGGTAGTCTACACCGACCCTAACCACAAGTTGCTCCAAAATGTCAAAAAAGTTGCCCGAAGTTGCTTGAATTTCACAAAAAGTTGCTCCTTAAGTAAAATCAAAATGACATGAGTGACAGCCATTTTCGCGTTTTTAAGACAAACGCCGCTAGTTAATTACAATAATGCAATTCAAAACTACTTCCTTCTTTGCCCTGCTTGTAAACACAACTGCTACAGGTGACATTCAAACGTACAAATGTGGAATGTCTTTTGTTTTCCTGCGCAATAAGAGTACTTAATTAAGTGATTTTACTTTACACGTGATTGCCGAGAAATAGTTCATGACAATTATATATCACCAAATAGTTACAATAAAGGAAAAAATTCGTATTGGTCGCATAAATCAGTCAGTATCGTGTGAAAAAGAACACTGTGAGTCGAAATTCCTTCATGAGATCAATATCTTTGTTCTCTTTGGTTTTCTAGCTATTGCAGCGTTTTCAGGCTTACTTAGATTTGCATCAAGCTTTTTGGCTTCGCTGACAGTAGTCAGAGTCAGAGAGTTGGAATTTTCTTCCTCTAAACTAACTGAAGATTCAGTGTTTGCCATCATTATGAAAAAGGCACGAACCGCTGACCCCAAACCGCGGGTAGTTTAACTGAGAAACAGGGGTAGGTGTTAGGTGGCTGAGGAGTGGGGCGTGGGGCACAAATTTCGATTTTCACGTTGTTAAATGATATCTATAATTATAACATTAAAGAACTGAAATGTTCTTATAAGGATACATAACAAGGCTTAAACAGTATCATAGGACTGTTTAATTGCCTTATGTTGCTTAAAATTTAATCAAGTTGCCCTAAAAAGTAAACGTTGCTCCAAAAGGTGCCAAAAAGTTGCCTGGGCAAGTTGTGGCTGTGGCTAGTCTACACCATCCAGACTATTACAATTCTATCTTAAAAATTAAGAAACACTGCGGCTTTTTTTATACGGTATATCACGCTGGTTCCTACATGCTTGTGCTTATAGTTAACGTGATATTTCATGGCTTTAGATTTTGGTCAAAACACAGCCGGTATATAATCCCGGATTACTAAGTTTTGACTAATATTTATCGGATCATTATACGTCTCTGGGAAACTGCCCACCTACCCCTCCCCTAAAGTTAAATGTCCTCCTTCACCACAGGATAGGATATATATTCACGATTCGTTTTTCTTTCAGTCTGTGTAAAAGGACATAAGGACCTCTTATGTGCCTTGCAATAAGGAATGCAACATAGAAAGTTTCTCTTAGCCACTTTTCAGTGCATGTAACTTTTATCGGTATAGAAGTGACTAAGTTTTTACTTTGACTTTTTTTATACGTGTAGCTGAAGAATTTAGTTTTTGTATTTTACATTGTCACATCTCCAGTTTAATAAAACGTTGTTACAATTTGCGTTCAAAACTCGTTACATTTGCGTTAAAACGTTTTTGCATTTTGCATTAAAGGTTTTTACATTACGAGTTCATGTGATTATGTTACATTTTTCTTCAGGCCTCGGTTGTTCAAAGGCTGGATAGCGCTATCCACCGGATAAATCTCTATCCAGTGGATAGTGTAATTAGTTTCCCCGATACTTATCCATTGGATAGTGATTTACCCGGTGGATAGCGCTATCCACCTGATAAATCTCTATCCAGTGGATAGTGTAATTAGTTTCCCCAATACTTATCCATTTGATAGTGATTTACCCGGTGGGTAGCGCTATCCACCGGATAAATCTTTATCCAGTGGATAGTGTAATTAGTTTCCCCAATACTTATCCATTGGATAGTGATTTACCCGGTGGATAGCGCTATCCACCGGATAAATCTTTATCCAGTGGATAGTGTAATTAGTTTCCCCAATACTTATCCATTTGATAGTGATTTACCCGGTGGATAGCGCTATCCACCGGATAAATCTTTATCCAGTGGATAGTGTAATTAGTTTCCCCAATACTTATCCATTTGATAGTGATTTACCCGGTGGATAGCGCTGTCCACCGGATAAATCTCTATCCAGTGGATAGTGTAATTAGTTTCCCCAATACTTATCCATTGGATAGTGATTTACCCGGTGGGTAGCGCTATCCACCGGATAAATCTCTATCCAGTGGATAGTGTAATTAGTTTCCCCAATACTTATCCATTGGATAGTGATTTACCCGGTGGATAGCCCTATCCACCGGATAAATCTCTATCCAGTGGATAGTGTAATTAGTTTCCCCAATACTTGTCCATTTGATAGTGATTTACCCGGTGGATAGCGCTATCCACCGGATAAATCTCTATCCAGTGGATAGTGTAATTAGTTTCCCTAATACTTATCCATTGGATAGTGATTTACCCGGTGGATAGCGCTATCCACCGGATAAATCTTTATCCAGTGGATAGTGTAATTAGTTTCCCCAATACTTATCCATTTGATAGTGATTTACCCGGTGGATAGCGCTATCCACCGGATAAATCTCTATCCAGTGGATAGTGTAATTAGTTTCCCCAATACTTATCCATTGGATAGTGATTTACCCGGTGGATAGCGCTTTCCACCGGATAAATCTCTATCCAGTGGATAGTGTAATTAGTTTCCCCAATACTTATCCATTTGATAGTGATTTACCCGGTGGATAGCGCTATCCACCGGAGAAATCTCTATCCAGTGGATAGTGTAATTAGTTTCCCCAATACTTATCCATTGGATAGTGATTTACCCGGTGGATAGCGCTATCCACCGGATAAATCTCTATCCAGTGGATAGTGTAATTAGTTTCCCCAATACTTATCCATTTGATAGTGATTTACCCGGTGGATAGCGCTATCCACCTGATAAATCTCTATTTGGGATAGTGTAATTAGTTTCCCCAATACTTATCCATTGGATAGTGATTTACCCGGTGGATAGCGCTATCCACCTGATAAATCTCTATCCAGTGGATAGTGTAATTAGTTTCCCCAATACTTATCCATTTGATAGTGATTTACCCGGTGGGTAGCGCTATCCACCGGATAAATCTTTATCAGCTGCTATAGGGGTTGTAACTCGGCTTCGCAAGCTGAAGACGTTTTACAAACAAGCAATGTTAAGTGACAATTGGGCGAAAGAAACTATTCTAAATTTCATTTTATTCATCAATATTTCGTTTATGCACAGCTGTCACTCAGTTTCAAGACAAGAAATGCAGTGCATTTTCTGTTAAGTCAAGGTTTTTTTTAGGTAAAACCATATGCTCCTGGTAAAACGTAGTCTGTTTGCCCATTTTACTCAAGTGATTTCGATTGCTTTGTATCGTTTTTGAATTATCCTTTCAGAAAAAATGCAGGATCTACGCGAAGCAAACTCGACAAGCCGACCCTCAGAATTAGAAAGACAGTTGAGGGATTTCCAGAGGCAGTTAAGAGATGCGCAACAACGCGAAGAGAATTTACAAAGACAGTTTAGAGAGCTTCAGGAACGGGAACAAAGCTCTCAAAGGCAGCTCACGGAGTCGCGGCAACGTGAACAAAATTTGCAGCGGCAACTCAGAGAGCTTCAGGAACGGGAACAGGGCTCTCAAAGGCAGCTCACGGAGTCGCGGCAACGTGAACAAAATTTGCAGCGGCAACTCAGAGAGCTTCAGGAACGGGAACAGAGCTCTCAAAGGCAGCTTACGGAGTCGCGGCAGCGTGAACAAAATTTGCAGCGGCAACTTAGAGAGGTTCAAGAACAGGAGCAAAATTCTCAAAGGCAGCTAACGGAGTTTCAGAGACAGTTGAGAAATTGCCAAGAACAAGTTTCTGAACTACAGTTAAGTCTTTCAACAGCTCAGCTAACAATAAATCAATTACGCAGCCAGGAAACACGTGACTGGGTTATTCCCCGCGACGAAATCCAAATCCCAGAGAAATGCCTAGGGAGGGGAGGATGGGGAAGTGTCAATGAGGGAACGTATTGTGGCTGTACTGTAGCAGTAAAACAAATTCATGATCTGATTCTCTCCCCTCATAACATACATCTTTTTGAGAGAGAAATGAATATTGCATCCAAGTGCCGCCATCCTCACTTGCTACAGTTTATCGGCGCCACGAAAGATGAGGGAACTCCGCTATTTGTCACCGAGCTGATGGAGAAAAGTCTGCGAACGCTGTTGGAACAGCGACAACTCTCCGAAACGGAAGTAGCCGTCATTTCCCTGGATGTTGCTCTTGCGCTGAACTACCTACATCAGAAGAAACCAGAATCCATTATTCATCGTGACGTCAGTAGTGCCAATGTGTTGCTATGGCGATAAGGTGACCAATGGAGAGGCAAAGTTTCAGATTACGGCACTGCAAATGTCATACAGCAGACCATGACAGTGGCTCCTGGAGCTATGATTTACAGCGCACCTGAAGCACTTACATCAAACCAAACAGTCAAGGTTAGTTTTATTGAATTTTCGAGAATTTCAAAGACTGTTGTATTTACAAATGTACAGCAATGCTAATATTTGCGTAAGTGTTTGGTCCGGATCAGTCATAGAAGTGTTTCGGCTCGGACAACATTTGTAAAGAAATACCGTAGTTATAACAAGTCTACAGGTGCCTGTGGCCTTGCAAAAACTCTAGTGTTTCTCTGCTAAAGTTATCAGTACCGTACAACTTTTTTGACTGGTCCGGACCCAGTTATTCTGTAGAGTAAACGCGTGCTCTTGTGACCCTTGCTCATCCCCGAATCCACGGTCGGTTTAAATTTCTTTTCTTGCAACGTATTGGCCGTGGTTTCCTCTTTCCATTGTTATCGTTTGGGCCTACGGAAGAAGCAGCGGCGTTTATGGTGCTTATAATGTTCTTGTGCTTTGTATTTCGTCGGCTGTCATGAGTAAATAGGGAAAGAAGGGGTTAGACTTACAGAGTTATTCAGTGTTAAGGCATTTTCACGATGAGGTCATTTGACTACCGACGACCAACTGTTTTTTTTTTTTAATTCAAATATGTCAATCCTGCGTAGGTTTAAAAAATAAGAGCCCTTTGCTCGTCCCGTACCGTCCTGTCTTGTCCCTCTACAAGCTCTTGCGCGCGCCAACCAAATTCTCCCCTCTTCCACGCTTCTTAGTTTTTAGTCAACTTCTTAAACCATCACATAGTTGCTTCTGGTGTCTCCAAATGGAACTTCTCTTAGTTGACTCAGTTGGGCTGCGGTGCTCAACTGCCCTGGACTTTAACCGTATTATGTCACAGACATCCCAGGGAAAAAATATAGACTTATTTAAATGATGCATTGTTGTTAGGTTGATGTTTACAGCTTTGGTGTTCTTCTTTGTGAAATGTGCGTCCGGCAACTTCCAGATCCCCGAAGGCGTGAAGAACAAGTGGTACTTGTAACAAATGGCGCGTTTCGTGGCCTGGTACGGCGATGCCTGCAGAGAGAGCCTGGGGCGAGACCAACCATGCGGGAGATAATCGATCAACTGAAAGAATTCGATGCAAATTCTTAACTGTCAAATCAACGGTATGCAATGTGATTGATAATTCGCAATTTGTAAGAACACTTTGCTGAAAAAAATAGTAGAAAAAAATAGCAGCAGTTTGCAATGAACGTTTTTTGCTGAATGCCTGGACATGAGTTAGGTTTAAGTAATTCCAGTTGTAATAGTCTGATAAAGGCGACTATATACGCGAGGGCTTACATAGCTCTTAGTTTGTTGCAGTGACAAATGCAATTAGGAAATTGATCATTTGTATTGAGAAATGCAATTTCCATAGAGGTCAGGTATTTGTAGTAAAGGGCTAGTACTTAAAAACACGGTATTGCGTTGAGGTAATTTTAGGGAAGAATACAATTTTTATATAACTGTAGTAGTTTGATATTTGTAGTAAACAAGTGCACGGATAAATTTCCAATTTTCCTAGGTATTGGTTATTAAGTATACTGTGCGATAAACATATGAAGCACATTTAGTAAAGAAAACAATTTGTAATTAGGTGGAGCAAGATCGTCTGCGTGAGCGTAGTCCTGAATAGGACTGTTGTTTATAGCTAGTGATTGACGTTTTGAAAACCTGACGAGTCCAGTAGTCATCTTCAGAGTCAATGAGAGGACTACTTTCACCCAGATGATCATTCTCCATCCACTTATGAGATGACATCAATCACCAATCAATTATTATAAAAACTAGCTATTTTTAGTGGAGAATTCTATTTTTATCAAGTTTATTTGTACCTCAGAAACAAATAACGTTAAAGTTACGGCGTTTTCCTGTTTGTTACGCGTATAATTTCTATATGAAGTTTCTTTACGTAGAAGTCGATTTTTTGTAAAAAAAGAATAAAATTACACAGTAGTGACGAGTAGCGAGGAATTGGTGATTCAAATAAACAGTTATTATATTTGATAATTAGTGTTCTGTTAGTGTATGAAGTGAAAAGTAAAATTTTTCATAAGTAGTTAGGTATTTTTAGTTAAGAGTAAAATAACATTAGTAAAAGCTAGGCACTTAACATTTGTAATTTAAGAATGCAGTTTCTATAATAGCCGGGTATCTGTAAGAAAGAATGCTTAATTACATAGCATTATGGTAAGGTATTTACAGTGGAGAATACAATTTACTTTGAAATGAGGTATTCGTAGTTAAGGTGGCTCCGTCATTAATTAATACTGGAACATTTAGCTGTGACAAATTTTCCGTCATAACTTTTTCGTTTTGAGAGCGATGGCTGCAAAGCTTTGCAAAGAACAACAGATATCATTCGGCAATAATACGAAATATTCTGATTTTATTGATGGTGTCTATTTCTTGAGAAATTAGCGCTTAAAAGGACCCTACTGTTCAAAGAAAATCGTGTCTAGTAAGAAATTTTGCTGATATTTTTTACTGACATTTCTAGTATCGGCTTTTATTGATATAATAAATATGTCGGAGAAATTTCAGAAACATCGTTGGATCAGAAGTCCGTAACTAAAAAGTCGCTCAAAATTCAGCTGTGAAATTGTTTTGGAATTTCAAAAGTAAATTACTATCAGGTAGAAGCTAGGAGCCACCAGTTCGAATTTTCGGGACAAGTAAATTCAATGCTTGCTAATTCTGAAAAAAAAAAAAAAAAAAAAAAGTCGATTGCCTATCGTGCTATTTTTTAAAAGGTACTTTTTAGTTTTAGAAGCACTATAAAATGCTCCAAACCTGTTCCTCGACATTTTTAAAGTATCCCTCAGCAGTTTTGGTTCAAACTCCTGCTACATACATTTTGATGTATTGCAATGCATCCTCAACGGCTTTTCCTGCTGTACGTTGCTTCCAATTCAGGAAAAAGGTATTGGGATTGTAAGCTACCTTGTATCGAAGCTCAGGTAGAACTGTCCAGCACCTTTGTTTATGACCAGAAAATGAGCACGAGCGGCAGCTCTGCGAGGAATTCCCACCTCAGCCAGGGGGGACGAATGACAATGATGCCCATGTCTGCGAACCGATCTGTATAAACATGTATTGCAGAGCAAAAAGTAATAATCAAGAAAAAACTACCTATTCATTGAAGGAAGGAGAGACAAAAATTTCAGAGTTGTAAAATTGTTCACGGGTAGTATATTTGTGATAATTTCATTTTGCACTGTGATGTAATTTGGTTCACAGGCATGGGCATCATTGTCGTTGGTCCCCGCTGGGTGAGGCGCGAATTCTTCGTAGAACTGCCCTCGTGCTCATTTTGAAGCCATAAACAAAGGTGTTGGACAGTTCTATCTGAGCTCTGATACGAGGTAGCGTCCAATCTCAGTACCTTTTTTCTGAGTTGGAAGCAACGAACAGCAGTAAAAGTCGTTGAAAATGCATTGCAATCAAAACTGCCAAGGATATTTTGAAATGTCGAGGAACAAGTCATTCTACAGAACAAGGTTTGGAGCAATTTGTAGTGCTTCTAAAACTAAAAAGTACCTTTTAAAGAATAGCACGATAGGCAATCGGCTTTCGTTTTAAGAATTAGCAAACATTGAATTTACTAGTCCCGAAAATTCAAACTCATGGTGTCTCATTCTACCTGATAGTTAAGAATTGCATCGTAAAAAGGTTACCTATTTGTCGTCTTTGTATTAAAAGGACTTGACATGTGTGTTAGGCTGCGTGCAAACGGACGCAACATTGTTGGATGTTACATGTTGCGTCCGTTTGCACACCCTGTTGCATGTTGTTGGACGTTGTTGCGTGTTGTTGCGCAAAGTTTGAAACCGGTCGAACTTTTCGCCCCGTGCAAACGGACAGAACATTGTTGGCTTTCAACTCCCAACATTGTTGGGAGTTGTTGCGCCCGTTTGCACGTAGCCTTACGTTATTTTTTATGGCATTAACTATGCCCCTTAATAACTTTCGTTTGAAGTTTTCATATATATTTTTTTCAAGTCATGTGAAATATGACTGCCGCAGCTGGGACGAATGTCAAAAGTAGATAAATATCGATCTTGTAAAAATTTAAAATCACATTCTGCCAATGAAGTTTGTGTACTTCAAAATGTTTTCGGGGGTTTTAAGAAACAGACGAGAGCCGGCTTGAAATGATTCAGTTTTTAACTGTCCCCCTCTCACAACATGATTGTTATATGTGGTGAAGAATTTGAACTTGTTTAAGCTGCTTCACAACATTTTCATGGTCACCATTTTTTGTTTTCAGTGGTGAAAATGTTGAGGCTGCTCGACAAAATAAATTCTCGACCTAGGTGCTCTGCTGCACGTATTTAACCACCAGGTTCCGGTTCCTCGAAGGATGGATAAGTTTAACCCAGGAGTAAACTAAATTTGACGCAAAGTTTTCTTGTCTACGAGCATGCAACTGGAGCTTACAACATACTGATGAGCCTTTCCTCCGAGTTAGATACAGCAATACTTTGGAAGGTAAAATACAAAAACGAGCCACTGAAAATTTTAATCCTGGATTAACACTAATCGGCCTTACAGGAGCAGACCCAGGGAGACAAGCGTAGGTACGCAGGGGACAATGGGATCGAGAATAGATACACCATGCGCATGCGCAGTGTAACAAATTGCCTTTGGTTATGATAAATATATTATGTAAACAACAAAGAAATACGCGCGAAAACATGAAATCCTTGCATATGAAAATGACATGTTATCCCCCCACTTGAAAAGATGTTAGTCAAGTTGTCAGTTCTCCAGTCGTTCTCTCGTAGTTAGTTTTGCTAACTACGACTAACAATAGACGACTGTTTGACTGTGACAACAGACGGATCGAAACGCACCAATTACTGATTACGAGTCTTCATAGCCAATAACATCACGACTTAACTGACAGACGACCAATAACATCG